TGGGTTATCTGACAAGAACCTTTCATTTCTATGCCAATAAAGAGAACTTCAGTGTCCATCTTCTATGCAAGTCTTTGAACATAATTAACATAACACCCCTTAATTTTAGACTCAAATTAACTTGGTAACCTAAATATTTCAAACATTTAAAACTTTTTTTAGAACAACTATGCGAAGTATTTTGAAATAACACCGGAATACAGTTATTTAAAACAGTGCAAAAGTGATTTGCAAATTACAACAGTATGGTCAACACATAATTCAACACGTAATAAAATTATTTACTCAAATAGTAAATTTAATTTGTACACGTCCACGCATCACTTTCATTTCAGTACCTTCCAGGATAGGCTCCACATTTATTCTCTCTCATACCTACGCACGTGTAGAAAGATAAAAAAGTCTACACGCTAAGCAATGAAGATGAGTGGTACCATAACTTTGTACAACGTAATACATTCAGTAATATATTTTACTACTACTTTTGAAATATTTTATTTTACTGATTTTAAATTTGTTTGATATAAAAATTAATCTTTTTTTTTATCATAATTTAAGAGTACCTTAAGAGTCCGTTTGGTATATGAAATTGACGGAATTGGAATTGAATTGGAATTAAAATTCCATGGGATTCAATTCCACAGAATTGAATTATGCCAATTCCAAATCATTTTTTATACTATCAATTCCAAATCCACATAATTTTTGTGCTACCAAACACCAGAATTGGAATTGAAGTCTTCAATTCCATGTTTTGAATTCCATTACCAAACGGGACCTAAAAGATTTCAGGGTTCCTGCCCCCAAACTCCCGCCTTACGATGCTGCCCCCTGCCATTTGCAATCCTAGATCCGCCACTGTCTATCTCCACATGTTTTGTGCGAAGGTGATGAACATGATTAAATGATAAATAAATAGCACTCAAATTACCACAAAAAACCAACGTAGCCTGGCACAATGGCTAGTGTTCCATTTTTGGCGCCCCTCAATATCACGACATCACCTATGCACTACAACAATTCTTTCTTCATCTTCACCAACTATGAGTTTCCCAATCTCCTAAACAACTACTCCCTTCGTTTGGAAAAACACTTCCCATTTGGATTTGGGGCAAAAATAAGGAAATGTTAAATTATAGTTGATTTCTAATTTTGCCCCTGATGTGATAGGTAAAAGTAAGATGTGATGGATAGATTATTAGAGAAAAAGTATGATGTGATAGGTAGGGTTTGAAAAAGTAAGGGTTAAAGTGGTTTTTTAATAGGAAAGGGAAGTGTTTTGTTGGAAGTGGAAAAAATGAAAGAGGAAGTGTTTTTGAGAACGGAGGGATTATCTAATTGATCAGAGCCTAGTTTTAAATTTTTAATGCGAATTCTTTGGCTTGTTACACTTCCAAGTACGTTTATCTCTTTTGGTATTAAAAAAGGGTCACTACATATATCTTGAAACATAAGCAAGTCTTGGGTCTTTCTCCCGTACCCATGCCAATGTGAGGGCATGAATGTCCCTCCATTAAATGGAGGCCACGTGGACTTATGACCATGTTAACCTAGGAATGTTCTCCATGCCATTTAAAATTTCAAGAATTGCAAATTGACCCAGTTTCCTTCCTCGGTTACTTAATTCTTCACACTTGGTTTTCATTAACTTGTCGCTCCATGTTTTTTAAATAAAAAATCAATCAAAATATGAATAAAACATAAACTTTATTTTCAAAATATGTGTGACATATTTTTATCTATAAAATAGAAATTTATACATTAATATTATAACACTGTATATTGTTATTACACAATACTTTTTCATAATATATGTCAAAATTATTAATATTGTAAGTTTTATATTTGTAATAAAAATATGAAACTCTTGTTTTAGTGTTTTCTTTAAGTTTTATCCTACTTTAATCTTTTTTTTCGTTCCATTTTTTAATTAAAATAAGAGTTAAATTAAAAAAGGTGTAATAATTCAGTTCACTCGTGGTTTGGACAATAGATACAAATAATCTCTCTCTTTTAAAAATTTATTTCTAATCTTTCTATGGTTTCAAAATTGAAAGTTCGTAGGGGCGCAGCGGAAATCACCAATTAAGAGCTATGCAAACAAATCAGTCAACTATGATGCAGAGAAGATGCTACATCACTGTCACAGTAACAGATGACGGACAGTGTGCTATAACACTTCTCTGTCACAAGCACACACAAATGCAGATGACTCAGAGGGTGTTACATCGCTTACTGGGCAGAATGCTGTAACTATTAAATGCGTAAAAATGACACCAGATATGTTTACGCAGTTCGGAGAAATTCTCCTAATCTGCGGGGCCCACGTCCTTGTAATAGCCCTCCACTAAATCACTAGATGCAAGTTACACCGGTACATAACAACATGATGAGACACACTTCTCCGAATTGTTATGGCAAAACTTCTAATCTAGGATTTCTAACCCGAACTCTGTTCAGATCCGCTTTGGCTATCACATCTCCACCGAGATCACGAGGACAAACGTGTTGGCAGCCCTCTCCTTAAGCTCTGGTTTAATCTTGATCCACAAGTAGCCTAAAGAGTTGGGATTCCTTAGCATGTACAGCTGGAGTTATTATCATGTAATCATAGTCCCAATAGGTCTCTAATTCAGATTGCAGCTTAAAATCCCGTGCTCAAACCTCTGATCCCAAACAAGGTGTTGCAGCATCGTGCTGTAGCATCTTCTGTGTCAACCCCGAAAACTGTAGCAACTCTAGAAGTCTAAATAAATTAAACCTCTCCTAACAAATAGAGGTTTCTACCTAGTACAACACCTAACAAATATGGGATTCTATTTTGCCAAAATATTAGCCAACACCATGGAACCAACAAAAATGTTGCACGTGCACCTCTCTGACTATTTGTCGTTCATCTCTTTTGGAAAGAAGGGGATTGATGCCTAATTTTCAAATCACAAGGTCATTTCCCAATTTCTTATTTTTTTTTCATTTTAAAAGTATTTTAAAATTGTTCTTCATACTTTTTATAAAATAAAAAATCTTTGTATTTGAAAACTATGTGACTCATAATTTTCTCACTTTTCTGCATCACTTTCAACCATACATTTTTAATTTCTTCAAATTTTGTGTCAAGTCAAACCGAACGCCTTTTTTGAAATGTATGGAGTATATAGTTAGTCAAATGTTTGGCACGTAAAATGAATCGGACAATTGAAAATGGAGGGAGTATGAAGTAAGGGTGCATTCTGTTTGCCCAGTCTGATTTTTTTCGATATCTAGTTTGTTCTAATACTCCCTCCGTTCCACAAAACTCTTCCTGTTTCGTTTTTTTTGCTTTCCACAAAACACTTCCACTTTCTATTAAAAAACCACTTTTACCCCTACTTTTTCATAGCCTACCTATCACATCATACTTTTTCACTAATAACCAAACTATCACATCTAACTTTTTCCCATCACATCAGGGGCAAAATTGGAAAGTCAACCAAAATTACACTTTCCTTATTTTTTCCCAAAGTCAAAACCGGAAGAGTTTTGTGGAACGGAGGGAGTATAATTTAACAACTTGTGTTTGTTTGTATGTTTTTATTGATCATTTGATAAAATAAAATATTATTATTATCTCTTGTATTGTATAATTTTATTGTAGTTTTAAATATATACTCCGTAATATTTATTTTTTATTTATATTTCTATTTCAAATAAATTCATTTTAAGACTAATGAAGTTTTGCTCATTGATCATCGAAAGTAATTCATTTAGGGGCCGAGGGAGTATAATATTATAATTGTAATTATCATTTAAGTATATGTGACATTAAATCATGTAACTTGATTTTATTGTTTGATAATAATTATTTAATTACGTATATAATAATTAAATTGTTTTTCAACATTTTTAGAATTAATCAAATCTAAAAAGATGTGATCTAATTGAATTTGATATGGTGCAAGTGCATCTGAACAGATATAACATGATCTTAACGAGGCTAAGTACTCCATCTTTCCCAAGCTTGACTACAATTTCTCTTTCCTTACCTGTCAATAACTTTTGTTTATTTATGCGTTTTTATTAATATTTGATAAAATAAAATATTTTTGTCATCCCATATTTTGCAAATCTTAGCATAGTTTTGTAATATATAATTCTAATTTTTTTGATATGTTATTTTGTAAATAAAATATTCTTAAAAATTACGCCCTTATAAATCCTAAATTAAAATTAGCACGGAAAAAATACTACTCTCTCCGTCCTATATATTTCTTCCCGTTGCGCAAAACGAAGAAAAATCCCAAATTTTTTCAATCTATTTTATTTAAATATTGGTATAGAAATAAAAAATAAAACATACATATTTAAAAACTACATCAAAAGTACAACAAAACATAAATTCCCGTGAAGTTGGAATAGTGCTCTGAGAAGAAAGATATAGGACGGATGGAGTAAATAAAAAATAAATTGAATACAACATAGCAAAAAAATAAAACAAATTGCTGGGTAGTAAAATGGAGTATTAACTTCTTCATTCTTTTGAAAGAATGAAATGCACTTGATGGATACCCTGGACAGGGGGTATCCGGTCTTTGTATAATGTTAGTTGGGACAGTCCAGTCTGTTAGACCGGCCCGTTAGTCGTACGATAATTATTTATTTAAGGGCAGCCCAGTCTGTTGGGTCGTCCCATTAGTCGCATATTTATTATTTAGGGCGGCCCATTCTGTTGGGCCGGCCCATTTGTTCGGAACCCTAGTCCTAACTCTCCCATTATATATACCCCTTTTCTTGGAAAAGGGAGGGAGGAGGGAGGCTTAACACCAATACTATTCATCTTCTTTTTCATACACTTTCTTCTTCTTCCTCTACCCAACAATGGTGCTCTTGTTGAGAGGGTCGAACGCATCAAGCGTGTTCTCTCCAAATTTTCTTTGATTTCTTGGGAAATCTGAACTTACGTTCGGAGGATTGTGAGGTTCATCACTGCTCATCCACTGAACCACTATCCAGAGCAAATGGTGACTGTCGGTGGAGCTTTAATCGGCAGTCCACGCTGAAGCAAATACACTTCTCTTCCATTCGTGTTTTTCTTGGATTAAAAGGAAGAATGTTTTCAAAATTCCTTCCGCATCTTCAGCAACAACATTGGCTCTACTACAGACTCACCGAAGCATTGTTCGCCGACGACGATGCCCAGCGGTGGTTCATCAGCTACAGATCTAATGTCGGCTCCGTTTTTGACGACGCTGGAGGGCGAGGCCGTTCGTACGGCTCACATGTCTCGGTCAAGTCCCCGAAACGGAAGACCAGCAGCGATTGCATCCAGATCCGGTGGCGGAAGAATTCCTGGAGTCTCGTCCTCGAATGAGTTTTCTAACTACGTTCAACTCATTTCGTTGTTTCACATACTGTTGAACTATGTTCAACGAAATGAGTTTCACATAGTGAAACGAATCTCTGTTCTCTGTACCTCTTTCGAGTCACTTCGTACCTACCCATTTATAGTGAAACTCATTCGACCAACTCCCGTAGGTCGAGTAACTTCGTACCTCTCCCGGGAAGGTTTTGCATATAACGGACGATGCTGAGGCTGGGGCGACGATCTTCCTCTCCCATCGGTCGGTGAAGTTCCGGTGACCCCTGCACGCCGACGAGCGCAACAGGGACAAATTTCTGACGGGAGACCGGTGACCAACAACCCCAGCAGCAGATCTGTGCAGCAGATCTATGCAGCCGGCGACGAGCGAACTCGGATCCAGCAGCCTAACTGCGACACTAGTCGAGGCGACCGGCAGGGGCGAAGCGCTCGGTCCGGTGCCGACTTCGCCGGCGCAAATGGAAACCGAAGGGATGGAGCTGTGAGAAACGTGACCCATATGACGAAGCTCTGCCCACAACCAACGACGCCCCACGGTGGTCTAAAAGCTTTTGCAGATCCATGTAGAGGGAGCGGCTAGGATTCCTTCCAAGTTTGTCCGTCCAGCATCGGCAATTGAGGGGGGCCTGCAAATCATCAAACACAGTAGTGAAACACATGGGCCCAGATTTGGGCACTCCAACCCGTGATGGAGGAGAAAAGTCAGCTAGTGGAGCATGAAGCAGTTGACATCATTCACGTGGGTCCCGGATTCCCCAACTATGGATGGTAGAACGGGAAATAAAAAAGATAAGTGTTTTTTTGTACCCAATTGTCATCATTGCTATCATTTACTCTATTATTATTACTATTACCTTTTCCATCACACGTGATCAGACCTCACTTGGACGATGGTATTACACTTTGTGTCCAACACTTTAAGCCCTGATATGGGACGGGTGCGAAGCTTAATCCCACACCCCACACAGGCCAACGACCTGCCTCAGGGCATGGCTCAGATCCAACTCATTTAGTCATTCTTTAGCGAGGCCGGGTAAAACCTCCTTACAAGGTGTTAAAGATCGTCCGCGACGATATTATCGCAAGGCCGAGGTAAGCCGTCCACCGCGACGCACTCCCATCCGTCTTCCACGACGCGATCCCATTTCCTTTTCCACGAGGCCAAGGTGCTGTCCACCGCGACGCACTCCCATCCGTCTCCCACGACGCGATTTTATTTCCTCTTCTACGAGGCTGAGGTAAGCCCTCCCTGCGAGGCACTCCAAATCGTCAGCGACGATATTATTCGCGAGGCCGAGGTAAGCCGTCCATCTCGACGCACTCCTATATATTCGTCTTCCACGACGTGAACTTTTTGCTCTCGGATCTAAGGCGAGGGGTGCATTATTTGTGCCTATCTCACTTACCCGAGCAGCTCCCATTTGAAGACCCCAGTCTCACTAAAGATGACATCAAGGTTTGTTCTAGACCAGACTACTACACGTTCGGCACACTCCGTTGATCAGGCCTATCTTTTGTCCAACACTTTGGACTCAACTCATGCGTTGCCTTACTTTTTTCGGCCTCGTATTCTTTTTTGAACTTCTTTTGCAGGTTAGAAGGATGAGAAGGCCAAGCTCGGCCTTAGCCACTGCGTGAGCCACTAGAGCTCGGCCCAGCCACTCAAGCTCGGCCCCAGCCATTCAAGCTCGACCTCAACAACTTGAGCTCGGCCCAGACACTCAAGCTCGGGCTCAGCCACTCAGGCTCGACCTCATCCACTCAAGCTCGGTCCTAGTACCTCAAACTCGGCCTCGGCCATCTCGTGAGGAGGCTAGAGACTCTCGCTGGCATCGAGCATGGACACTACTCCCCTTCACCTTGGAATTTTTCCTCGGCTTAGGGAGTGGGGAACTTCGGGTGCTCGGCTTATAATTATTACAGGAGAGCTTCATGATCGACATCCTGACTTTCTATCAGATTGCAACAGTACGCGTGCACCTGCACTCGTCGGCAATCCATTATGTCGAACAGCCCTCGACTCCGGACGACGAGTCCGAGGGACTTGAAGATCACCTCTTCTGAGGTTCACACAGAAGACCTCACACCCTAGCAATGTTTTCTCAATCCACTCTGTGGGACGAGATGTACTCTTTTCTTGACCGGGGATTTTTTCCCATCCTCATGAGTTTTTTCCTCAGCAAGTTTTTAATGAGGCATCTCCCGTGGAGTGGGTCACCCATTGACGGGATGGTGGGAGGATTTTTTTTTAAGATGACAAATGGACTACAAATGACAACTCCATCACCCACTCTTATTGTGATCATTGTGCGCTGAACTGCAAATTGACGAGGTACTCTGTACGAGAGCAGATCATTCAAAGACAATGAGCAGATTGAGGCAGACTTTTTTCCACTTGCCACTCCGGACAACGAGTCGGCAATGCACCTCGTATCCATGGGTGCAGATTCTTTCACCTCGCCTTACGCTGGACAGCGACTTGGCATTACATTTTAGATTGATGGCGTTGCTTGCCTTACTTCATCATGCTCGGGATATCAAGTTGGCGTTGCACTCCAGACAGCCAGGAAGACGATGTCCTTCCGTGGTAAATTATGGTTCTACTTCCACTTCACCTCGAGAAGTGGAGGACTCATGATGGATACTCTGGACAGGGGGTATCCGATCTTTGTATAATGTTAGTTGGGGCAATCCAGTCTGTTGAACCGGCCCGTTAGTCATACAGTAATTATTTATTTAAGGGCAACCCAGTCTGTTGGGCCGACCCATTAGTCGCATATTTATTATTTAGGACGGCTCAGTCTGTTGGGCCGGCCCATTTGTTCAAAACCCTAGCCTTAACTCTCCCATTATATATACCCCTCTTCTTGGAAGAGGGAGGGAAGAGGGAGGCTTAACACCAATACTTCATATACTTTCTTCTTCTTCCTCTGCCCTTGGGTTCCATAACCCAACAACACTGATAACTAAAAGCAAGAATGGAAGAGAAAGGATAAATACACAACCTTTTTATAATTTCAAAAAATTAAAATAACATGGAGTCTATTGTCCACATGGCAAAAATTTAATGGAGGGGCATTAATGCCCTCTAATTTGCTTGAGCATGAGATAAATCACCTTGGTTCCCAATGTCAAGGGATTACCGGGGGTGCTCCGGTGCCTCATTCGTAAAATTGACGGTTCCTACCCCCTANCCCCCCCCCCCCTTCAGTTGCACCCTCAAGTTAATTTTGACTTCGGGTCGGAGAGGTTAGAGGGATAGAAAGTAGGAACCGTCAATTTTACGAACGAGACCCCGGAGCACCGCCGGGTCATTCCATGACATTGGTTCCCAATGTCATGTGAACCCCCCTCGAGAGAGATAACCAACACATAATACTCTCTTCATCCACAAATAAACTTTCCATTTACTATTCACAAGGTCAAACTTTATTTACTTTGTTAGCTTATTTTCATCTGATAAAGTAATATATTCATTTTACCTCTAATTTTGTAAATTTTTTTATATGTAATTTTTATTTTTAAATTTTAATCTTTTTTTCATATAAAATGATTTAAAAATAACTTCAGTCAAATATCATTACACACGATGAGCAATTTATCTTTAGACAAAGGGAGTATAAAAATAGCAATAACTTAAACGAAAATCATATCAGATCAAGAAAACAAGACCGGTTCAAATTTTACGGTAATACATTCAAGTCAAAACTAATCACATCCTTAAAATAGATACCATAAAGACTTTCACAACCTTTAACTCAACCCCAAGAATTACCCCTACCGCATGTCCTTCACACACCTTGCACCAAAACCTCATCTTGCAAAAAGAATCACATTTTATACCCTTTAATAAAATGTGATGTTGCATTGAAAATTACTTTAATACCCTCATCTTTGCCGCATGAAGATAAGGAACGTTAGTCTATATGTCCCTAATTTTAGTTATTATAATTGAGAATGGAGTGAGTTTCAATTGACACTTGCCAACAATGACACTAGCGATGTCACTGCATATTTCGAGCACCAATCAAAAAATTGATATTTCCTACCACCCTAAACCCTACACCCTAGCCCCACCCCTACCCCCACTCCAACCTCATTCTTAGTTCCCCTCCAAATGAGTGACTATTATGCATTAGGGAGGGTTAAGGGTGGAGCTAGGATGGGGTGTTCAAGAGGTAGGTTTGGATAGATAAAAAGCATCAATTTTTTTATTGTAACACAAGGTGCTCCAAAAACACAATGACACCACTAGTGTCCCCATGAGTGAGTGTCAACTGAACCATGCCCTTAAGAATTTAAAATAGTTTAAGATTTGGTTTTTTTTAACATTCTTGGATAAATCCCATCCAAAGTGTGGGGAAACAGCAGATTGTCACGATCAAAGCTAGCTATTCTACAAGCACATTCTTCCAAACAAAGTTCTTCCTAATTCTATAAAGAACAATCATTTGATCGTGACAATCTTTAAATTCTTGATCTTGTAATTTTCTACTACAATCTTTCATTTGTAGCTTGAAATATGAGATTTTACTTGTTTAATTTGTGTTGTTTGTGAGCAATTGCACTTTGAAAATACTTAAAAGGATAGTAAATAATTGCCAAAGACTACTCAAATGTGAGATGAAAATACACGTTTTGACACTTAACAGATGGTCATTCCCATTAGAGGGGTTCTTCATCTTTGAATCATTTATTTTCTTGAGGATGCCATCATTGAGGCAATAGAATTAGGATGTTTCTCTAAGCTGATAAAAAACTTAACTGAGATTAAGAATTCCATAACAGCTAGGAGAGAATGGATTTATGTCCATTAGCATTCAAAGATGGCCATTGCCTTTTAAAGGGCTCTTCATCTTTGCCAAGATGGACACACAATGGAGTATTTTCTTTGAGAAAGCCATCCTTGGCCTATGGAATTATATGTTTCTCTAAGATCATCAAAAACTCAACAAATATTACAAATTCTATAACAGCTAGGAGAGAAAATTCATTTATGTCCATTAGCATTCAAAGATGGTATTTGGCATTTAAGAGGCTCTTCATCTTTGCCAAGATGGACATACAATCATATAATTCTTTGTGAATGCCATTATTGGGAAAATTGAATTAGATGTTTCTCTAAGCTGATAAAAAATTCAACTAGTATTAAGAATTCTATAACAGCTAGGAGAGACAATTGATCTATGTCCATTAGCATTCAAACATGGCCATTGCGCTTTAAGGGGCTCTTCATCTTTGCCAAGATGGACATACAATCATATAATTCTTTGTGAATGCCATTATTGGGGGAATAGAATTAGATGTTTCTCTAAGCTGATAAAAAACTCAACTAATATTAAGAATTTTATAACAGCTGGGAGAGACAATTGATTTATGTCCATTAGCATTCAAAGATGGCCATTGCCATTTCAAGGGCTCCTCATCTTTGCCAAGATGGACATATAATCATTGAGATTTCCAAAAACCCAATCTCAACTCAGATCAAGAATTCTACATAATCCAATATTTGACTATAATCTGGAAATTGAAGCAAAATTGTTGATGAAAACTAATAAGCTTATGAAAAATTATTCTCAAGTGAAGAAAGTATATGATCAAATAGTCAAAAAAAAACACCCAAGTGGAGTAAATATAGAAAATCAAGAGAACTGAAACACGAGAAATGAAAAATGGAAGAGCGAAACGGATCGGGTACCACATGATTATTGATTGGGGAAAATGAGGCCTCTCTGTTGGGGCGGCGGCGTTGTCGCTGGCGGCGCTGTCGCCGGCGGCATCGTCGTCTTAGAGAATCAGCCGAGTATCGATTTAGGGCATACTTGTGTATTCCGGTATTTATAATACCTGAAGGGATTATTGATTCCTCGGCACGAAGGGTTGAAGCCCATTAAGAACATATAATGTGCATTGGCCCATGGCTGCGGCCACTTATCTCTTTACTCCATCCATCTTAAATTAACTTTTTTGTTTGCCCTCCAAATTTTCATTGAGTTTAATAAAAGTGAAAGTAAATGGAGTAAAATATTTGTTTTAGTCCGGGTAAGTACACTCATTAATCAATTTCGTCTTTGTAAGTTTGATTTTGTCAAATTAGTCCCCGTAACTAGAAAATGTGAATCAAATTAGTCTTTTATGTAAAATTTATATTCCAAAATTATACGGAGTAAATTAACACGTTAATTGATACAAAATTAATATGCAGAATCATTCCTCTTACATCAATTAACGTGATAACTCAAAATTTTAGGAGATAAATTATGTTCGAAGGACAAACTTGATTCACATTTTTTATATGTAGAGACTAATTTGACTCAAATAAACTTACAAAGACCAAACTGAGTCATGAGTAAATTTAAAGTGACCAAAATGATCATTAACTCGCATAGAAGTGAACCACATTCATTTCTAAAAAGAGAGAGATTTTCATTTTGGACCAACATGTAAAATCTATCTCTTTTACACTTATTTTAATTAAGAATTGGCATAAGAATAAAAATATAAAATATATTGCTCAAAATTACATAAAAAAATTTACAAAACAAAAGTTGACTAAAATATTTTCTTTTTTTAAATTATCAATAAACGCAAACAAACAAAAATTATCAAGAGTTCATAACGATATCAAAGAAATCTCGATGCAATTTTGAGACATGAGTAACAATACCATTTTGACACATAAGTAGATAATTTTTACATAATATCTCAATGCAATTTAGAACCGTACAGCCAGTTTTTAATTTGGGAGAAATTAGAATCGATAAAGAAGAGAACGTTTGCATCGAGGGAACGATGGACCATCGGCGACCGGGAAACCCTAGTTTGATCGACGTTGAAAGCTACATCAATGGATGATTTGTAGTCGGCGCCGCTCTAATTGTATTTAGGTCTTCTAGTCGGGTGAGGACCGCTGCTCTAATTCCAATCGACGATGAACGCTGCTCAATTCCGATCAGGTCTTTTGCGGAGAAGAAAGAAGGTAAATGACAAGAATTCTAGATTTCAGAGACAAAGAGGGGTTGCAGATTTCAAGTTTGAGCGACTTATTAAGGTGCTATGAATGGTATGTTGTTTAAGAATGAATATTACATTATTTCCGAATCAACATTATGTTATTCGTAAATTAATATTAAAATTGTAATGAATAAATTTGTGAAAGTGAATACTACGTTGTTTCAGAATGAGTATTACATTGATTCAAAATGAACAACTCGCTATTTCAAAATGAATTTCCTTTCATTCCAAAATGGAAATGTTTTATAAAAAAATGAGTACTACTTTACTTCAAAATGAATATTACTCGATTGTAACATAATTCTACGATACAATATACTCACTCATATCTCAAAGCCCCAAACAACAAATAAAAGATAAGGTGCAATTGAAAAAACTTAAAAATATATTTGATCTTAAAGTAAAGAAATACAGTACACAGAGATTTAAGAATATAAACATAAATATTTGATTTATATGTTATATTATTAGCTCTCTATGTACTGTATTTTTTAATTTTAAGATCATGTAAATGAATGTTTCGATAAATTGCTTTAATCGACCACTTTTTAAAAAAAAAATCAGTTGGTGTAAAGGCGGTGTGGGAAGGTCGAGCATTCATTCCTTTCCTGTCGTACCATCTCCTGCAAGAACAAAAAGGATCGGGTGCCACATGATTATTGATTGATTGGCGGAGCTGAGGCTCTATTGCGGCGGCGGCTCAAAAGCAGCTTAGCTGAACGGATTACTGCTTTCTCGGCGCCAAGGGTTGAAGCCCATTAACAACGCGGCCCACCATTCTATTTAGCATGTTTTATGGTATTTTACTCCGTATGTGCCATGTAAATGGATCATGTTACAGAATTCTTAATCATTAGTTAAGAATTACGTCCGTCCCATTTTAAATTGCTTGTTTGTCCCGTCCCAAAATAAGTTGTCTGTTAGTTGTTTTCGTAAATTTTTAAAAATAAAATACCTAAATTACCTTTAAAATAAGTCAATCTTCTTCACATTATATTTTCATTCATCATCATCCCTCCTAAAAAGTATTGACAATTTTGAAAAATCAACTCTATTTTTAATTTTTTTTAAATATGCCCAAAAGTCAAAACGGGCGATTTAAAACGGGACGGAGGGAGTAGAAGTTGTTCTTTGAAAGGTCAAATAGAAAGTTTTTCTTAAGGAAAAAATTACTGTAAACTAAAAGTAAATATAGAAAAAATATCAAAATAAGAACTTCATGTTTTTATTTTCAAAATGAAATTTATAATACCAATAATGTTAACACTTAGTACCAGAATATATTGTGGAATGTCAATATATTGACACATTGTCTCAATACAAATTCCTGTTTTAGAAATTCATTTTTACTCCTATTTTATTCTTTAATAGACCATTCTCCCATTTTGATTTCTCAGGTCATCTAACCTTTTGTCAATGTAGCCAAACTCTAGAAATGAACCCTAAATAGGTCCTAAAAGTACTATAATAAATCTATGAAAAAAGACTAAAATAAAATATTAAAAATATACTAAAACAAGACTCATATTTTTATTCTCGATATAAGAGTTAAAATGCATTTATAGTTACAATCATGACCATATAAGTTACCAAAAACTTAGTACGATAGAATGTTAATGTACAATGTCACAATACCATAAATCAAATGACAAATACACCCAGAGAGAGGAAAAGCAACAACGGCAAGGTTCCCATGACATTGCCGGGTCATGGGATGACCTGAGGGCGCTCCGGTGTCTCGTTCGTAAAATTAACGGTTTCTACCTTCCCTAACCCCTGGTAAACCTCCCACTCCGCCCTGACCCGAACACACCCCCCTACCCCCTTCAGTTGCACCACACAAGTTGATTTTGACTTTGGAGGGGTGCAATTGAAGGGGGTGAGGGGTGTGTTCGGGTCGGGGCGGAGTGGGAGGTTTACCGGGAGGTTAGGGGGAGGTAGGAACCGTCAATTTTACGAACGGGACACCAGAGCGCCTCCGGGTCATCCCATGACATTGCCAGGCAATGTCATGGAAACCTTGGTGAAGCAACAAATATAAACCCATTACTCAAGGCAACAACATAAGAAGCAGCATTCTAAGATGAACACAAAGAGTAGGAAAAAAAACAGTAACATCAAAACAGCAAGGAACTCCTATTTGTGTTGCTTCTTCCATGAGATGCCAAGCCTCTTAACCATTTTTGCATTCTTCCTCTTCTGCAAATCTTCATCCCTGTCTTCCTTTTCCGTGAATCTTTCTTTCTCTCCAGGCGAAAGAATTGCAGCGGCAGCCTCCGCAGCCTTGCGCCATTGCTCGCACTGCACCTTCATCCTTCTTATCTCTGCTCCCATTTCTGCATTTTCATCTGACATCTTCTTCATCTCCGCTTCCTTCTCCGCTAGATTTTCCTTCACACATTGAATCTCCCTTTCCAACTCCATTTCCTCCTGCCCCAAACGCCTGTTCTCCAATTCTAATGCCAAGTTCTCATTCTCTTCGCATATCCCTTGCAATTCGGTTTCTTTGTCCATAAGGTTCGCCTTCAACTCCTCGACTGTTGCGATCAGTTTCTGCACCTCGGCTTTAAGCTCGGCCTCTTTCTGGTTTGAGGAGGAGATTATCCGTTCAACAAACTCGTAAGCACTTCTGATCTTGATAGTGCTTAGGGTTTCTTCTTCGGAGTTTCTCACTTCGGATGCCTCCAAAGCGTCGCTCAGGCTTTCAATCTCAGATTTCATGGAAGAAATCTCCATTTCAAGAGCTTTCTGGGTTTCTTCTGATCTGATCGTCTCTGCAGTTCTTCTTGCTGCTTCGAGCTGCAGCAAGGTTTTCATTTCCTCCACTAGCAATAGAGTATCGGGAAGATTTTCCTTCAAGTTCTCGGATTCGGTGGCCTTGGGGAATGTCTGTTTCCACAGAAGTTCTTGAGATTCTTCAAGTTTAGAAGATAAGAGAGACAGCTGCTTTTTTGACTCGTCTGCTTCTTGATTTGCATGATTCTTCAATGCTTCTGCGGAACGTAACTCTTCTTTCACTTTCTTTAGATCATTCTGCAGCTCAAAAATCTGAGATTCCAACTCACTGTGTCTGCTTGGGCGCATCTGCAAAATTGCAAAAAAAAAAAAGGATTGGAGTTTGAAAATTATTACTTTTGATGATCAATTGTTTAAGTTAAGAGACTTCATTAATATTTCTAAAATTAGAGACATATTTTTGAGATATAAGAAGTTTGATCATTAGAGAAATAGGTTAATGGGAAGGGTGAAAATAACTTTAAGGGCTCACACCTCAGAACCTAAACTATGGGGTGACCTTTGCTCATTGCCTTTGGGACTTCCCTGCTTTGGGCTGCTAATTACATGAGAGGATGCCTTAGCACCGGAGTTGTCTGGCAAAAGCTTGCGGGCGATGCGTGGGGATACCTTTTGAAGAGATGTATAGTGAGAGGAATTTCGTGGAGATGATTTTCGACGAACTTCTTGAGGAATGGGCTGTGGTGAGATTTCTATAGGCACTTTCGAAGATACCGATTGTGGTGATCTTTTTCTTCTTTGAGGTGCCTCAGAGGAACCATTTCTGCTCGAATACGCAAAATGTGGAATCAAACAAGCCATATAAATGAACAAATCAACAAAGATGGATACCAAATGAAAGCTTCTAAATCCCATTGGGACACATAATTACACAAACATAATAACATTTAGTATTTACTCAGTTCCCACTGCAAACCTGCAATCTCCCAATCAATTTTCAAATGTGTGGATAGTATAAAGCAAGAGATTAAAAGTAATGGAAGAGAAGAATTGGGTTTTACCTTTGCTTTGGAGTCTGCATATCTCACCCAACCACCACCCTTTATCACAACTCTATGAGTATCATGAATGAGAGAGCATATTGAGTGAGAATGAGAGTGTGGGTTCAATTTAACCACTTGAATCCTAGCTCCACAGTGCCTTGCAGATGTTGCTATCAACCCAAAGCTAATGGGCAACACAATTAGATTACTACTAGTCATCCATTGACAACACACCACAAATCATAAATGCACCCCCCACACAAATCATTGAAATTTTTATTTGATCAAGTGTGACCTAGACAAATCTTACTTGCATTAGGGAAAAAAACATTTTTCGTTGTTAAGTGAAAACCCATTTTAAAAAGTATTTTAGACAGTTAGAAACAAATCAAAAGAGAAATTTTCAAGAAANAATGGGAGGACAATGAAATAAAAATGCCAGAATGTGGTTGAGCTATAAGATATACGGAGCATTAATGTCATTCTTGTCACATTGAATGCAGTGTCACGAGGAGAATGGGACAGTGCAAGCAAAGTGTGGGGCCAAAATGTAAATGAGACCCTCATTCAAGGGCAATCTTGTCACTCAAGATTTTATCTCCATTATAGCCGGATCACAAGGGGCTTCTGTGATTCACATGTGTGAGATTTTAGGTTTAGGGTTTGAAGATTCAGAGAAGATATGGGTGAAAAAAAACTGGGCTTTCTGAGTTATGAAGAAATGGGATTTCATTTTCAAGAATGGGTTTAAAGAAAAGAGAAGAAAGGTGAGAACTTTACCGGATATGAAGATGCTCCACATTTGCAGACTTTTACACTGTCAACAACAACAAGAAAAGAAGTAAACACCAACGAAACATGATCTCAAGAACCAATTAGAAACTGAATAAATTACTGTGGAGTGAAAAAAAATTACCGAGAGAATATGAAGAACAGTAGAGGAGCGTGCAGTAAAGTGTTGGAGCTTTGAAGAGGGAGGCCGGAAAATGGAAGATGGGGAGAGCATAGTACCCTGCTGGAAGAGGAAGAGGCAAGTAAGCAACTACTCCCCTGACTCTACAGTCTACAGTGGAGTAGTGGATCGTACTATATTTGATTTTTTAAAGAATAACTAATAACCTAAAAAAAATACTCCCTCCGTTCTAATTTGATTTTAAGTTGAGGTTTACGAAAAAAATTATGTGGATTTGGAATTAATAGTGCAAAAAATGAATTAAAATAAAATTTCAATTCCAATTCCATTAATTTCTTATACCAAACGGATGATTTTTTAAAGAACAGGTAATAACCTAAAAAAATAGATTGAATGGAAAGGAGCTTAAATCGCTACAAATAAAAGAGAACTCCCTAAATAAATAAGAGTAAAACACTATGAAAATATTGAAATTGCATAATAAATTATTCTACAATCTACACGATAAATCTAATTTATATATTTCACAATTCACTATGTTTTTTATAAGTTGCAATTATTTTCTTTAGCAGTACTTCAAATTATTTTTTTGATACTATGCTATTATTATTTTTTAAAAATAGCACTACAAAACTTGTTAATACTTTTCGATAATCTTGTATAAATGTTTTTTGCAAAACAACATTACATCAGTTGTGAAAATAAGACAACATTTTTTCTCAAAAATGGAACTCTTAGTAACTCACTACATTTTTATTGTATTGCAGTTTTTTCATAAACAACATTCCAAAGTGTTTATCGATAATCATCTATTACCTCTATTTTGTTTTTCTAAAATGGAACTAGAAAACTTGTGATTTTTTTCGATAATTCAATACAAATTTTTTCTCCAAAATAACATTTCAAAAGTTGTGAAAATGGCACAATATTTTTTCTCCAAAACGGCATTAAAATTTTTTATAGCTCACTACAACTTTTTTGTATTGCAATTTCTTTCTCGAGCGTTCGATAATCCGATATTATATTTCCCCTAGAACAGAATATAAAATTTGTAAATCGTTATAGAGACAAATCTCTATTAAGAGTGCATTATTTTATTTTTAAAAACATAAATTTTAAATTTAAAACTAAAAAAATATACATTTTCCAAAAATTCCATTAAGTCGACATTAGTTTCTTAACGGTAACCTAAAACTTGCACACATGCGTAAAAGTGAGATTATTTCCGTTGATTGTGAAAAGTGTGATTATTTTTTAAAAAAGCGTAAAAGGTGAGATTCTTTAAGATAATTATTTTTCCTAAAATCTTTATGTTTTTAAAATAGGGGAATTTACGTAAATATCACTAAAACATAATGACTTTCCTTAAATAGCATCACATGTGTTTTTTCCCAATGTAGCACTTTTAGTCATTATTCATTAGTCATTATTCAAGTAAATATTTGTCATCACTTGACATTATGGATACTATTAAATTCTATTTAGGGAATAAAATAGTTTAAATGCTATTTAGAAAATAGTTTAAGTTTTAGTGATATTTAGTGCAAATATTGTACATGTTGACTTTTTGATTACTAAGCAGGAGGCATTAGTTTGGGATAAAAATAGGTAAGGTTTGAATGGGGTAGAGACCGTAGGGTTTCATCATCATCCATTCATTAACGTTATATCTGGTATTCGGTTCATCTATCATTCATTTTATACACCATCCATCATTCGATATATCCATCACCCACAAGTGAAACTTGTGAAACCATATGATATTAAGGGAAACGATTGTTTGGATTAAACAAAAATTATAGTTGAATAACTAGCAAAAGTTTAAAAAAAGGGTACAAAAATATGTCAAGCTAGTGAGAAAACGGACAATCTAGCAGTTAAAGAGCACATGAATGAGCAATCGATCTTACTTAATGCGAGACTGTGAGAGGAGATGGATGCCGGATGGTAGACTTCGTCTTCTTTGCGACAAAATTTTACTACAGACTGTGAGCAATAGGAGATTGGGTTTAATTTATCCTTTGTGCTTTAGTTTTCTTATAATAAGAAAATTTATAATCAAGAAATTAAACCCTCAAGAAAAAATAGAATCAAAGAACTGGTATCGACCGATTCATTTGATAGTTGTTAGTGATGCGGTGAGTAGTCTGATGTCCGTATTTTAACAACTTTAAAATTAAATATAGACAGGTAAAGAGTTTTTAGACATACAAATGGTTATCACTTACTTTTTGCTATTAACATCTTTTCTAATTAGTTTTTAAATTCTCCTTGGAATAAAAGTAAATAACTTAATTTGGGCGTATTTAGTATTCCCACTAAAAAAGTGGCCCAAATTGCGAGCGTACACACACTCGTTCCGGCACCACAAACTCCGTATAAAAAAACAAGCATACATACCACATGTGTATTACGGAGTTAGGTATAAAGCCAATTAAAAGGACAACATTGTTTGGTTGGACTCTATGTTCACATTATCATTATCTTTTTATTAATCTTTCTTTTAGCAGTACGTTACCATTTTTTTCCTTATATATTTTGATTTTTTAGTGGAACTAGTATTTTTATTCATTCGGAAATATACAAAAATATTTTTCGAAATATTCTCTCAAATCTAACAATCTTTCTTTATATAAAATGACAACCGTTATTTAAAAATAAATTTAATGATAATGTTAAATCTTTATTAGTCCCTAGCTAGCTGATGATCCATTTGACTTTCTATAAGTCCAAGAAAGCAGGAGATGATAACATGATATTCAACCAACAAATCCGAGTAATAAATTAGCAAGCTCATCCTATCCCTTCTCTCTCTCTCTCTCTCTCTCTCTCTCTCTCTATATATATATATATATATATATATATATATATATTCTTCTCCCATTGCACCTTTACATTAATTTTCTGCCTTTCTCTGAATCAATTTGCGACCCAATGGAGTGCTCAATGATCAGTGACACCACGGAGACGGTGGCGGTGATGAGCCCGTGCGCCGCTTGCAAGATCTTGCGGCGGAGATGCGCCACCACCACCGAGAAGTGCGTGCTAGCGCCCTATTTTCCTCCCGGTGATCCGGTCAAGTTTCTCGCCGCTCACCGTGTCTTCGGCGCTAGCAACATCATCAAATTCTTGCAGGTATCTTGGATCCCGTTCTCCCCCTTCCTTCCAACTCAGTGTCACATACGCTTCGTCCCTTTTTTATACAAATTTTTCTTTTTTACATCTCTTTTAATTAAAATGATTTAAACTTAATATATAAAATATGTATTTCATTAAAATTAAACTTAGAACTGCATATAAATATATTTAAAGCTCATTTGAAAAACTATTTATCATTGGGATTAAATTTAAAATTATAAAATGTAAAAAAATTAAAGTACATAATTAAATCTACATTTCATTGATTTGCATTTTCTTAATTTTTACGGAGTAAGATATTTAATTAATAAAAAAAGTCATAAATTAATAACCAAAAAAGCCTTAAATTTGACTTCATTTATATATTTTTATTAGATTAATGTTTATTCTTTTTACTCCGTATTATTTAATTCATAAAACAAAATTACAACAAAAAAGACTTTTACAATGAATTTGATTGAGCTCAATAAATGTAAAATAAGTCTAACCATTTGGATATTGAATGGGCCAGGAACTGGCGGAGCACGAGAGGGAAGACGCGGTGAGCAGCATGGTGTACGAGGCGAACGCGCGGCTGAGAGATCCCGTGTACGGCTGCGCCGGAGCGGTTTTCCAGCTCCAAAACCAAGTCGACGCCCTCCAGGAGCAGCTCGCCAGGGCTCAGGCCGAGGCGGTCAACATCCAACTCCAGTACGAATCCCTCGTCGCCGCCCACCTCCACAACCGCGACCTGTCGCCGTCGTATCCGCCTTGCTCTCCCGGTCGGAGCGGCTTCCGAAGCAGCTGTGACTACCAGCTGGTCTACGACGGCGCCGGCGCCGGCGTTAATTTGGGTTTCTTCTGGGACGAAAATATTACCACTCTCGACACGAGTGCGTGTGATCAATGATTTAAAAAAAATGAGTAAAAAAAGTTTGTACACCATAATTTATGTTTTTGTGTTATTCAAGTAAATTTCTCCTCAAAAATATTTGTACTAAATAGCACTAAAACTTAAGTCATTTCTCTAAATAGCACTTAAATTGTTTTATTCTCTAAATAACATTTAATAATGTCCATAATGTTCAGTGATGGTGAATATTTGCTTGAATAATGACTAATGCATAATGACTAAAAATGCTACATTAGGAAAAAAAACACATGTGGTGCTATTTAGGGAAAGTCATTATGTTTTAGTGCTATTCAAGTAAATTCCTCTTATTTCAAATCTAAAATGAAAGTAAGATGATTAATTTATAGAAATCACCCTAAATAGAACTAAAACTTAGAAAAAAGATTTTAAAATAAGATTTTCATGTTTTTTTTCTTCGAAATAGGACTTCGCACCATGGTAATGTAACACTGTACAACATGTACACATTAATATACTTTTTTGGTATGTAGATGACCATGTTTGGTAATGTAAATGCATTTTAAGTCCTATTTTGAGAATAGAAACATGAAAGTCCTATTTTGGTATATTTTCAATGTTTTAGCACTCACTTAAATCCTATATTAATATTAATTGAATCTGTTTGGACACTTGAACTTTTTTATGTTGTTTACCTAGATTATACATTTTTATTATTTTTTTAATAATTTATGTTTACAAATTTAACTCCACACAATTAAAGAAAGACCCCTAAAAAAGAAAACTTCTCAATATTTTAGTAAAAGTTTATCTTTTTAGAGAATGTCAATAGTAACCTTTAAAATTAGATGATGCAACATTCATTTTGGAGGCCTATCTAAAATTTGGTTTGTCTTTTTAGAGGATGGATATGTAGCTTAGCATATGAGAATCTCATCAACAAATCTCTCTCTAGTCTCTACCACCTATTTTTAATCTAATTTGACCAATCTAGCTTTTCTTTTTCTTTCAATATAACCAATAAAAAACAAACCCAAAGCAAAATCAAGAGACAAGTGGGATAAATACAAGTTGAGAAAAAAATACCTCAACAACTCGCATACCTCTAAGAAAGTCATAAAAAATTTCACTATTGAGAAAAGAAATCGGACATTGCCCGGATCCAATAAAAAGATAAAGAATATCAAGGATCATCAATCAAACCTGTATCTCCGAATTCTTCGACACTAGCATCTTCCAGTGCACGTCAAACTTCTCTTTTTTTTCTTTGATGCCTGCAGCTACCAACGTAGGTCAGACTTCTTTCTTCTTCATCGATGTCAGCAGCTACCAGCACACGTCAAACTTCTCTCTTCTTCAACGACGTCAGCAGCCACCGGCGCACGCCAGACTGGCAGACTTCTCGTTTCTCAAGGTTTCTAGTTTCCTGCTAGTGTTCAAGCTTCCTCTTGTTTCATGCAGAGTTCAACTTAATGGGGGAAGTTAGATAATAATAATTATGGTAGTATTAGTTATTGTAGTCTTTGTGTTTTAGTCTGTTTCTATTATTGATTCTTATTCCTAATTGGGGTTATAATCCTTTCTATTAGTTTTTGCTGGTTGGGCCACTAAACATCGCGTGCTTTGTTGATTTGTTTGAAATTTTTTAATTCAGAAATACTCCCTTCGTCCCAATTTAAACCATCTGATTCGATTCATGAGCTACAAAAAAAGAATTGAAAAACTCAAATCGAATATAAAAAACTAAACCGAATTATTATTGTTTTGTTTTCGTTTTAGTTTTCACTTCGATCCGAAAAACCAAATTGAACCGAATAAATGACATATATGTTTTCGTTTTAGTTTTCAAAATTTTCTATGTACATCGTTTTTTATATGAGCATATATGACATGTAAAAAAATTATAGAAATATAAATGCAAATAATTCATCAGTTGATTAAAGTTATTCACCTTAACTAAAATTTTAAACCATATTATAAAATCTAAAGAAAATCTACAAGTGTAAACACCAATACCTTATTCTAATGCGGAGTTATATTTACATTAGGAATTGATATAATTAAGTATTTTATTCACATGTTTATATGAAAAAACTTTGGTGTTATAATGAAAATAAAAGTATTATACAAAAAATACAATTACTCCGTAATTGATATTTATATACAAAGGGTTTAGGATTATTTAGAATCTCCTAGATATTTGTTGGACACTTGACACATATTTTTTTATGTAAAACCGAACCAAATTTTAACCTTCCGTTTGGTTTTTATTATGGTAAAAGCGAACTCAACCCTATGTATTGCTATTGTAACACTTTAATCCGTCCAGGTCTACAGTCCCTTTCAGACTAAAGTATACACTTGGTAATCGTAAAATCTAAAACATTTCAAACACTTTTATTTATCACAATAAAATTTTTCATAACATAAACAGTACGGAGTTTTCAATATTGCGAAAGCTTAACAAATCATAATCACAAACATAATGTATTTATGTTCTTCAATTCAAAACCATCACATCCATTCCGACAATCTCGCCTCCGTTTGCCTCCTAGATCACGTCGCATCATTCTTTCTATTAATCTGCGTGTAGCAAATAAAACATACTACACGTTCAGCGTTGAATGTGAGTAAGCATATCTAATGCGTCGAACATTCATATAAATTTAATCTCAATTCATAATCAAATCATTTGATATCATGCACATAATGTTCAACTCAAGCATTCATTATTCATGATATTCACAATATTCAATTCAAGTCATTTCATGATATATATATAACATTCCATATTCATTATTTCAACAGTGTTCTTAAATTGTTCTTAATCTAAGGCCAAATCATTTTAATAACAAAACTCTTAAACTATTCTTTGTCTAAGGCACTAATTTTAACCAACTCTTAAACAACTTCTAGTTTAAGGTTTTTAAACTATATTCCTAACTAACCCTTAAGCTAGGCCTAGTTCAACATATAGATTTTCAAAAGGTTTTCAAAATCTTAAACTTATCTTCGCTTAAGGTCAACCAGAACCAAACAACGGAATGCTCATTGTTGGGTTGGGTGGTACCCTCAAATGATTAGGTACTCAAGTTTGCTTTGTTAATCCCGTACGTACATTTTAACCCTGGCCACCAGACATCATACGCGCAAGGCCTAACTAAATAGGTATATCTTAGAGTTCTGCTAGATACCCTTGAAATCAGTATCAATTAACTAAATGGTCATTTGGGTATATCTTAAAATTTTTCTAGATATCCTTCAAATCAACATCAATATGGGTACATCTTAGAGTTATTCTAGATATCTTTAACAATACATATTATTTTCATAATAATCAATATATTCATTTTTAATCATGATTCAATCATTCATAACAATCATTTTAATCAGAATATTCATCAAAGTTTAATCATCATAATCATTAATTAATAATAATCATCATAATCACCAATCAATAATAATAATCATAATATTCAATAACAAATAGCGGCATTGCATTGAGTGTTAACACCCTAGCTTACCGTCATGCATCACATAAGATTTTCTTTGTCAAAAACATCATTTTTACTTCAAGAAATCATCCTTATATTGATCATAATTAATTGGTGTAAAAAATAAGATTTTAGAACTCAAAAATAGCATTTTTAGAAATATTTTCGGATCAACCAGTTCAGGGGATCGATCTAGTACGTAAGATTGATCCACCTTGTGGAATCACTCCCAGGGGATCGATCCAGCACCTAGGATCGATCATCCTAACTGTGTTGCAGAAGGTTACTGTTTCATCGTCTTCTTCCTTGGGTCCAATTTTGAAAATACTATTTTTAGTCACCAAACTTCAATTAAACTATATAGAAATGTTCTCCAAGGTTAATATCTCATTTTGATATCATTAATTCGTATTTTTAACAACAATTTCAAGATTTATGATTCTTGGTTCTTCAAACATGTCAAACATAAAACTCAATCAAACGACTGTTCATGAACGTAAAAACAATCTATACGAACATTTTAGTCACTAGATATATCTACGGGCTTACCTCAAAGCTTAATGAAAGTTTTGAGAATTTTCCGGCGAAACTTCTGGCGAAGATTACTCTTAGCTCCGACGACTTCTCACCAAATTGACAGCATTACTGCGTTCTCCACACTCAAGGCTAACTCTCAGAATAATTTTGAAGGGAAATGGTGAAGAATTGAGGGAGGAGATGTTGGTTTATATAGGAAAAAGAATGAAGAAGAAGACATGGAAGATGACCTTGCTTCTCCTGTTTCGGCGTCTCATTGGAGCGGGCTGCGCCAAACGTAAGTCCCTAATTGGGACTATTTTCAGTCTCTGTCGAGGTACACTTTTTGGTCCAACTTTCTCTGAATTAAATTCTGATTGCACCGTTTTGGTCGGACAGTTAAACTTTATCCAACGATATACTTCTTATATTTATTTGTAATACTTTTTTCTGACAACATATTTTTGGTGTTTGATTTTGACAGAGTCAAAATTGATTCAATTGTCCTTTATTCAAAAGGTTCTCACATTTAATTCACATTAATTATTCTCATGATTCATTTCAATAAATCATTTCAATGTTCACATCATAAATAAATTTTTTCATTTATTCTTAATTTGAGTCTGTACTCTGGTTCTTTATCAAGATTACATAAAAAGTCAACATATTGGATTTATCCATATGAGATTTATCCAGATTGTGATATCAAAACACATTCATTTCGGCCCAAAACCCAGCAATAATTTATTTTAATCAAAACAAATTTAATTAATTGAATAATAATTTAATAATAAATTTTAGGGTATATTTTGGGGCGTTACAGTTATTGTTTCGTCGAATTAGTGTTGTTACAACTTTTTAATGCTTATAATATTTTATTTTAAAAAATCGAAAAAACAAAATAAACTTCAAATAAAGTCCGTATAAAATTGAACTGAATAACCATTGGTTTACATATTTTTGATGTAAATCGAACTGAACCGCTATCTTACCTTCCGTTGTCTTTGATTTTGGGGGAAAAGCGATCCCACCCCTTATTCTTCCTTTGAAGTTTAACTTTTGTGGTCAACAATTTAAGATTTTGTCTACAAATTACCATTAAGATATAAAAGTATTACATTGTGATATAATTTTT